ATATACGGCGAAATTTCTGGCCTTATCTGATATATCGAGCGTCTGGGTTTTGTCTGCTCATCGCTGCAAAGAATACGCAGAAGAACCGGCCAGTTGTGCGAAAAGCAAATAGTCTAGACTTTGTATGTGGTATTATTCGCTATTTGTTCAGATAAAATAAAGTTATACATCTAATATGGAACAGGGAGATCGTCCAGTCATTTACTGTAACAGCTCATCGAATTGATTTTATAAATTATTTTTTAGTTCCACATAGCCTTTGATAAGATGGTGCAAGCATATGAAAGTATTTTATTCAAATGAGGGTTTTCAGTTATTAGTAAGCCGAAGGATAGCCATGGCACGACCACAGATTGTGTAACAGGTTTTATTGTTTTACCTGTTCATCGTAAATATCTATCTAAAAGAAAACCCACAGAATTTTGAAGCCATGGCGGCCTCATCCCATACCCCAATTTAAATGGAATAGGAATTATGCGAAAGTCACAGAAGTTTTCTTGTGTGACTTTCGCATAATTCGTCTCCGGAGTACAAATTATATGACGACGGATTATAACGTTAAATTTTAACGTGGTATTGTCAAGCTAAGGATTTCTAAATAATACATATAAATGTTCTAAGATGTTTTATGTTGATATTCAAGAAGACGACCGGGACGTCCCGAAATTGGTGTTGGAGAAAACATCAAATGGTACGGGACAATGCAAATGCCACTCTAAGATACCTGACCTTCACTTGTTATATTATATTAATATTAATCCAATTTAATGAACGCGGTCAGAGTATTATTACTTATACGGACGTGATAACTCATATTGTGATGTCGTATGAACCCAATCAGGTGAATAATGTCTTTAGCTTATGACTGTCTTCGATTGAATACCTTTATAATATAATAAATTATATAGTAACATTTATAGGTGCTTGGTAAGCGACACAAAATGCAACCCACTCGTAGCTGGTTACAATTTCATATCCCGGTCTCTATTCGCTCACTTTCAACGCATGTGTAAGTTGAGAATCTACCGGCCAACTTCACTGAAGCAGTTATTATGGCTTGGTATGCCTTTTTTTCCTTATTTTTCATTTGTTGAAGTTGCTGTTCGCACCTGACTGTTAGAAACGCCCTTATAATGAGAGTTATATATATATATATATATATATAATGTTCTGAAATTTACTTTCGATTTGAGCTGACCAGTTGAACAAAAAAGTGAGCGCTGTTTCTTGTTAATACCATGTTAACAACACGTGTATTTTAAGGTCAATTCTTCTTAAAACAAATTTTTTTGTATTATAAAGGAATATAAACTGGCATGAAATCTAGTCGTAGGGCGCAGTATCAATGCTTGCCTTGTTTTATTTTTACCATCTTTGGTAGGCACGTGCCTGTAAGCTTCATTAAAACCATTTGGTCTCACGCCAACAGGTGAGCCCGCGATAATAATGATCAAGACATTGATTGACAACTGTAACTCGGCTAAACCAAACAAATCGCGGGCAACCATGAAAGTACATTGGTAAATCATTGTCAAAATAACCGTAACGGCTCTAACACGGTCTGAAATTAATTTTCGTACTCGAAAAATGCTTCCAGAATTTAACCTAGGGCGTCGTTTGCCTAAACCTTAAAGTAAACGGTAATTTAAGTTAGGCCAACTTAAAACTTTCAGTTCCAGTGCCGACTTACTGCTGAGATACAGTGGGTGTTTTCATATTGTAATTCTCAATTTTGAGTCTAACTTCAATGTACTATTGAAATTCTAGATGCTGTTGATTAATTCAATATTCATACTTTACGTTTTCATTTTTCAAAGTCAACGGAAGGCACTCAGTTGATCAGTATAAAAGGGGGCAATTGCTCTAATTCCATCGTTATTATTTTTTCTATTCCTTCATGACTGGTAATGAAAAAGAAGCCGGCGGAACCATGAAGCAGAGTGGAAGTTATATTATTATTGCGACAGACGGAATATTTTTTGGACTATGTTAGCTAACAAAAAAAAAAACTAAAAATAAGTGCCGTTTATTTAGATTATTGAAGTCCTGTGATAATGTAGACCTATGATTGTCCGATTCGACGGTACCCAAGTGCTCACATATCGCAATTTTTCTAGGTATACCTCATTATTCGTCCGGACCCTTGATTCCCTTTCGAATGTTCTATGTTTAGCTACTGTCTCCTGAACTGCACATTATTGCGAGCGCGTTGTAAGGTTGAGAATCTCAGAAAATCGGGAAGCGTGCACCGGAAAATCTGTGATACCTTCAATGTACAAGGTTAAGTAGGAACGATATGAAAAAAAGACATCTTTAACGTGAGCGTGATAAGATACGACATTTTAAGCTACTTGGTATAGGTTGCTTACCAAGAGCGTTAAGATTTTACATCTGTATAAAACTAGTCAAATAGTGGCATGAAAGTTGATATTTACCTGTGTGTTGGTAACCTAATCGCGGAAAAACAGAACAACTTTTCCACCTTATTCCAGAAATGTTTATATGCTCGTTGAATTGTACGCCTTTCTTTCTGCATATCATCATTGGCTCTTCGTTTGCCGCCTGTCACTTGGTGGGTATTATCAGCCAGCCATTGAATAATGTACCTAAAGACCGCTTATAGGTTGGTACTTACGGGGCACCACCGTATAGCTCGCCCCTATCGTAGCTATTCCAATAGAAATAAATCATTCTTACTAGCCGCATAAGCGTCTAATATAAAGTGGAATAAGCCAGTTTAGAGGAAATAATAATAAAGCTTCTGCCTCTGTTGGATTTGTTTTGATCACATTGAAACGCTTTGATTATATTTTACCTAAACTATCACAGTGCTTTGCGAACATGGAAATGTTCCCTTACGCTTTCTTCACGCCAAAATAGAATAAAAGTTACCAACTATATCTAGGTTAATTGGCAAATTTCTTTCCCCCACAGGTCATCTTCTCTGCTTTACTCGTAATGTATGAGATATTTCGTTGCACTACTGTTATTTTCACTATATGTACATCTTTGTTTTCAAGCCAAATCGCGTGTATAGGAGCTAGGTCATGATGGTCTCTGCTGTGTTGGCGAAGGCTGTTAGCATGTTATACTCCAAAGGTGTGATACACCAAGGTTTTTGGTTGCTATAATGCTGCGGTTTATTTGAAGCATTATTCAAGCCACTGCACGATTCAGCAGCACGTCAAGTGCTGCTACCATTATATATCGGAAAAGCTACTTAGTCGATGCGTTCGATGTGCCCATATGGTATAAACCAATGAAACTGCTCTGTTTTCCTCTAGTTGTCGCGCTGCATTGTGGGGGTCTAGTCAGACTTCGATGAAATTTATGAATATTTAGATTAGCTTTATGAATCATTAGATGGCGAACTAACCCCTCTATTATGTTTGATGAATTGGGCGCGTTTATGTCAGGTAGTATTTTCTTTTTACAATCAAAAACAGATTCGGCGGCTGGTTAACAATTTCTTCAAGTTTACTGAACTTTCAGAACTGCTTCAGTATGATTCTCACAGAAACGCCTGGCTCACCTTGTATAATGTCCCTTGATACGTGTTGCGTCTTTGTTACACATAAGTCAGAGCCTTCAGCATTGTCAATAATTATTTGTAGATCAAGGACGCCTTTCCGTGCGCACGTGCCGAGTCTATACATCGAATTGTTAAGATAGTCCTCATGACCCTCAAGAATACGGTCTCTGCCTGCTTCACATGTTAGTCAACAATAATCTATCATAGAGATACACCAAGACCAAGCACTCGCTGCACCGTAAATTGCTCATTAAGCTGTAGAGCCTCAATTCTACTGCACTAGGATCCTTATAGCCACCTATCCTTATCGCCGGAAAAGTGACAATATTTCTTTGAATATATATGTAGTAGAGGTTAAGCGTACACCTATTTCTACGAAAAACAGAACCTGAACCGTAAAGTCTAGTTGATATGGATTCTGGAATAAATGTGCGTCAGCTTGCAGATATAATTTACCCTAAAGTGACTTATTTTAACCTAATCAGCCCCAGCATTAGTTTTTTTTTTTGCTGGAACTGAAACCACATTCGCAGATGATATTTCCAGGTGAGAGATTAATTAAAAACGTGGTGCAGGAAAAATGTGTTTCCAAAAAACTTACACATTTTACGATTATTGTTATTCATCATACGTATGGAAAGCAATGCAAAATGTATGGGAAATATGGAGTTTCTATAGTCGAATGCAACGAGACGGTAACAGATTCTGTTTGTTTTTTAGCGCCCTGAAATATGGTAAGCTAGTGACTCCGGAAATAGTTTCATGGTAGGCATAATTATGTTTATGAACCTCACAAACTAGGACTTCCAATTTCACCCAAAACAATAAAGAAAATAGATTTCCTTGTGTGTGCGTGTTGGGAGACACTAAAGACGCTTATTTCTATTAAAAAGAATTGGTCCTTTAAGCCAAGAATATGAAATAAAAATGGATTTCTTAAGTCGGACATGGACAAAACTTTTATCCGGCCGTGTTCAAGTTGAATATTATATGTGTTATAAAGAATCATCTTCCTTAGTCTCAGCCTAGGAAATTATATTTTCAAAGTTTTTAATCGAATGGAATTATTTTTCCCAACTTACACCATTGCTGCCCGGTATGGCTGCAATAGTTGCGTGGGCTGCTAGAGGCCCAACCTCAAGGATCCTCCGCAACACGTCAATTTAAACCCAATCTACCAGATTATTTCTTACCTTAATCGCATTCAATAAGCCTAGATCAAGGGCATCAGAGCCTGTTATTATCTCTTTTAATTGGATTTAAAGAATCTTACCTTATCGCATTGATTAGATATATCATAGAGAAATAAGCGTTATCCAAGTTCGCCTTTAGAGCTTCATGCTGAGTAAATATCTAGGAAAAATCGAACGAGGAATAACCCGAATAAGGAACAGAAAACTGGGTTTGTTCGAATAGTGGGACTATACCCGCTAGTGGAACTAAGGGCTTCGAAAGAAGTCCGATTTACCTTCTGCTTTCATTGAGTTTCTGTGTGGTTGCCATTTGGTACGTTCACCTTTAATACGTTTCCAAGCGCTCAGCCATCATCAAGACAAAAATAAAAATTGTCGTCGTTTTGTGCCCTCTAGCCACTGAAGCTCGACACGTGAAACCAGGAGGATCTTCGGTCACCTAATCCATATAACACGGGCTTGGAAAAAACGAGAAGAATGATTTAACTAAGTTAAAATTTTCCCGCGCATCGTGCGTATAATTCATTGTTCTTGTATTACATTAATTGTATCATTACAGATTATCTACCATTCGTAGTAAGAAAAAATAGTCATTTAAGTTTATGTGAAATCTACAACTCCAGAAGAACAGTCTTCCTGGTTTTTCTTTGAGGTTTAAACAAAGGCTTGATACTCTAGTGAGGAAGATGACTTCTTGCTGGTAATAATTGGAGAGACACAAGAGTGGTCTTGGTTCGAATCTAAACGTATGCACAATCCCCTTGTAGGAGCCAGGTAAATAAATTAAGAAAGAACTTGCTTATTCGATAGCTTGGCTAAAAAAAACGTCCTTTTGTATCTTTCACTATATGGTTTCTGACAAGTGTGGTAAATGCCCCGCTTTGAACTGCGCCTTCTTATATTTTTATATACCTTACATATTCCCCATATATACATAGGACAGTTCTGCACGATTCACAAAAGCGAGTATCATGGTCAGAACATCTTCTGGAACTTCGTTAGTTTCCACGAGTGGACGAAAATAAACATTTCTGCCCAGACTATTCATGTTGTCTATTCATGCCTACATGTTGGTCTTAAATAAATATCTGTTTCAGTTTAAATATGTTACGACTAAACTCAGAGTGCATAGGAATGGATGCTTGGCTCTTGCCTGAACATTTGAACGGGCCAACCCAATATGGAGCTTTAGCTTTTCTATAATCAGCGAACTGTCAAAGCTTTCCAGGGCGCAAATGCAAAAGTTTATCGCCACACGATTCTCTCCGGCCTAAGGTCAACAATCGCTTATAAAAACTTCAGCGTAGAGGCTGTTTCATTTTGAAGTTGGTCGTCATACATCAAAGCATGATTAATCGCTTTCAAATTGCCTTCGACGAATTAAAAATTTCAAAATTAATTATTCTTCTGTTTAACTTCGTGAAGATGGAGACTATTATACTATTATAGTAGTAAGAATAATATTTGGAGACAATGAGGCACCTGTGTCTTTGTTCTGCTAGACATTGATCCTCGACAAATGAGTCACATTTTCGTCAACTTGGAAAATAATAAATCTATGATAAGAGCACTCCTTGTCAATGACATCTTTTATTGTTCGATAAAGTTGATCCATATCAAATATAATGGACGGCAATAATAGCACGATTCAGGCGACACAACCATTTTCTACATAGATATTTTGCCCTAGTCGAAAAATGTTTATTAATATCGAGTGATATTAATTTTTATTGGCCATTCCATTTTGAAGAGGAGAACATATCTCTATACAGTAACACTGACAGGGTATAGGCTGTGATACCTATAACTGTGTATCGTGTACGTGCTTTATATCAAGGAAAAAAGCGAAGTTTGTAACGAATCATACCCGACTCCCTTTAATCTCATACCGACCCTGTCATGGTAAATGTCAAAACTTACCAGTCCCGAAAAATAAACTCCTGATGTGTCGTCGATTGTATCCTGAGTATAGTACGTCCATTTCGCTGACGAAGAGCGTTACACTTATAATTAAGGCTTGTAAAAAAAATATATGAAATAAAGGCTCAGCGCGCAAGTACATCATGATAAGCTAATGACGCGTCACAGAAAGGTCACAATAAACGTTACAATGACACCAATTACTAGCCATACTTTACTTTGCGTACAAATGATTTTAGATAACGGTGTTTCGTCCGAACGAAAATGACACTAAGTTAGTCTGACCGGTATATAGACTCAGGTATTGAAAGCATCCCACTGTCAGGTTGGCATTTATTACCTGTCGTTGTAACGCATAATACTGTACACATTTAACCCGCTACGTGGCCGTGTTCAAAGCAGAGGGAAGTGTCTATTTGGCGGAGAGGAAGTCGCGAATTTCTAGAGTATTTGTAACGACCGTATGCAGGCAACGTTTGATTCTGCATCGTGAATAGAAGGACCCCTTTAAATGTGCGCGCCGATCGAGCTGTTATACTTTCCGCAAACCGTAAAACCTTCGGACAGAGGCACAATATTACCTTCTAATGAACGTGTCGCAATAGTTTCCTACTACGACCTAATTATAACTAGGGAATAATGTACAGCAACTAGGCCGAAAAATATAATAGTATAATAGCGAGAAGGAAATAATAGCGACGGTTTTTCATCTTATATTGGTGTAATTTTAAAGGAAGGTGGAGTGAATTTGTAGCTCGATCCGAAATGGTGTTTATACGGATACGAAGATCGTTCCCGTGAACAACGAAGCTTGCCCATATCCTAATAAGTTTTCTGAGTAGGTAATACCCTTTGTCTCGATTCGAAAGGGATTGCGCTGCTGTACACCCTGAAGTAAAGAATTTCAATGAAAATCTTCAAAGCCTCAATTATTGAGAACCGTGGTTCCGCTTAAATGGTTTGCTTTTTTTGGTTGGTAGAATAGTAGCAAACATTCTTTTGATGCGGTACAGCTTTATGCTGTAAATCTCAAAGCGCATTGACCGTATACGTGATTATTGTCATTATCATAGGGTACTGTGAAGGTACTGACCGCATAAGACATGAAAATACCGATCAACTCAGATCGGGACGTTTTTGATCGAATCGTGGTATGTGACCGCAAACCACCGCTTTAAGACCCAGTTATAGGTTTATATGACAGTGGTTTTTTTCTACCGTATGCCATAAAAAATCATCATCTAGATTGATGCATTAATGCTACGATTGCTTTTGGCTCGGGTGGTATTTTTCATGGCGTTCCGTTCACTGATAACTTCGGCTAATAATTACAATCGTTCCCATCAGATAGGTTTCATCATGGTCAGCGTAGTGTTGCCTGAAATTTTGGACCATGGCACTGAGCCCATAATGCTTCAGACTGCCATCAGAAGTTCTAAAAGGTACATAAGCTGCCAGTGTCAAGTTACTGTAGCTGAAGTATTCTATCGTACATATCAGACGATACTAGGGTTTCAGTAATTGAATAATTTCAAGGATATCGGAGCAAACCGTCATTCTTTTCTATTATAATCATAGGGTCCAGAGTGCCAATGCGTGACTTTTTCAGTGATGTAGGCCCCGGAAGAGCAGTATGTATATATCGTAGACGATGCCCCTTTTTAAAACCTCCAAAGCAAAACACACATCTAAAAATTACTATTGCAAACTCTATTTCATTATCTGGTAACAAAATAAATGGAAATATGCAACTTTAGCCTTAAATACTTTTTTATTTAATCTTTTAAAAAGCGAGGATAGAAAAGCTACTTCACTAGATGACTTCGAGGAACGTAGTTTATCGATTGCTACGTAAAATTTTAACGGTAATTATCCAAAGAGGGCGGCAGATGACCTTAATAAACTTACCGCGTGTGTTCTTTCAGTAGCATTACTTGTGTACATATTTTATTAAAATTTTTAGCTAACGACTAAGAAGAGAATAACATTATGAATTGGCAATAGCATAGAGTGATCCAAAATCTTAGCCTAGATCTGCCTCACAGGAGAAGGTGGCCTTCTATCCTGACTGTTATTTTATTTAAAAACCAGAACGGTATACGTCTAATAAAGGGAACTTGCATTTATGATTAGCGTGTTTTTTCACGCGACCCAGGTTTTTGCACGCAATTTTCATAGCCAGTGGCAAATTGACGCTCGAAGACGCCACTTAGCTTATTCTTAGCACGTTTATCACAGTGACCTTTATAGCTCTTATACTTCAAATGTTACGGTTTCTGAAACAAACCAAGCTGCTTACATATTAGAGGTAGGGCGAAACTCTTAAGGAAAATGGCTTCGTGCTGTTCTAAGTATTGAAACATTCTATTTTGCACTCAAGTTGTTGTGTTCTCGAGGGGATTTGAACTTAGGATCCATACTAATCCTTTCAAAAGGTGTAATACGAAAAAAGATATAAAATTTTTATTTACTCTAATGAAGTCCACTTAAATCATTAAAAGATCTCTTATAAGGACAGTTAACTTAATGCTGTAAGTGAAAGACCTATTATTTACTTTTCTCACTACGCAAAGTTACTTAGTGCCACTGAAGTGGACGGCTCTGAACTACTGTGTTTGATTACTACTGCTGATACGTAAAATAGGCGTTTTGCATAAAAATTATTAAGGCTATGATATGAAAGTTATTTTCACCAACGTTTACCTAAAATAAAAGACTATTCACAGTAGAGACCTCGTTCGGATCTCCTCGAACTCGTAATTCAATCATTACCGTTTCAGTTCAATAAAGTAAATTTTTAACGTAAGAACATAAGGATTATCCAGACGAGATCGGTAGACAAATCACCAACGTTAATTCTTTCGAATGTCGGACGGGGTTGTTGCGAATTATCAATATACACAGGTGGGATTCGCAGAGCAGCATTCGACACTTGGGTTCCACCTAGTACACGTGTACGCATCCGTATCCTCTAAAACGTACGGAGGTATCAACGTGGCCAGGTCGCTAAAAATTTCTAGCCTTCCGATTCCCTAACCTAATCCGGCTAACTCATAATGAAAGACTCCTTGAAATCAAATATCGACTTTATTATAGCTGGCCTCAGGAACATCAGACGTGAATAGGCCGTGTCGGAAAGAGAGAGGTGAAACAATCACCAGAGTGAAAATAGGATTATCCAAAGTCCTACGATATATTTCGCCTTAACAATTCGATCACCTCTATGCTTCATCTTCGTAATGGAATCGTAAAATCCTCGTAAAATTTGAAAATAACAAAACATGACCACATTTACCAGCATCTTATTTCCAGTATATATTCATTATGTTGGCTGGTGTATTTCCATCAATACGTAAATCACTATCCTACGTCTTCATATACATTGTACAGTTTGTGTTTGAATAGCATTCTGCAAGTCTGGGGGCTGTTAAGAGTATAGTGGTATTTTGCAAAGACAGCAGTCTCTTTTGCGATACCGCATCGGGACAAAGAAATTCTTTCAGTGCGTAGAATAAGAAATGCCTCTCTATTGAGACGGTTACGTGACGCTGGTGGCCATCAGGCGATTGAGCATGCGACTATCGTAGCAGTAGCGACACGCAACGGCAGCGCCCCGCTGTCTGTTAGAACTGACTCTGCGTGGCGGTCGACATCACCGACCGAGACAAAGGCCGCCAATGAAACAGCTAGGACATGCTGCCTCATAGAGGCGAACTAAGAGCTTGGCCTTATAGTTGATCTCTGAGATCAACCGCTTCAGAGTAGTACGTAAGTTGGATTTAGTATACGACTCATTATACATAGTCTATGGATTTCAATGCGAGATAGATAGAGGCAGGCGGTGAACTTCGAAAAAAACAGAATTTGAAATAAAACAAAATGTCAGATACATACCTAAATCAACGTTGTTTCAATATTTGGTTTTATATTTTTTCGTTTAAATACAAATGTATGCATCATTTCGTGATGAATCAAACGTGATCCTTCTATGAAACATACAAAAGGTACACGCAAGTTGAGGATAACTATTGGCTGTCGGGGAGTCTTAAAGTGCATGCAAGTTCTGCAAAAGTTTCATCTGACGTGCGCAGACGTATCTGTTGATAGGTGTTAATTTAGGGCGCGTTCATTTTAACGACAGACTGTAGCACTAGCCACTTGTGTGACAACCAGTTATTAACGTTGTATCGACTTCTCTTAACTTTGATGCTACCTCTTGTGCCGTCTACGATGGCTTGGCGGTGTAGCCGAAGGTTCAACTAATCAATTCAACTTGATCGGAAAAAAGGGAGCATCCTGGCCAATGGTTCTGGATGCCTCTATGCCTATACGTATCTCTATTTGCGAAAACTTACGCAAGCTCTAGGTGTATTGAGTACAGACGAAACTTTCCCCCTCTAATCCATCGTTTAGCAGCAAATAGCACACCCAACGGGCCTACATTTTTATCACGTTTTAAGGCGCCGTACGTTAAATATAGCACTACAAAGATATATTCATCTTGCTAAGGTCAAGGACCGTATAATAGTTTAGTGAGTATCAGTATTATTCCGATTAATTTAAGATTATGTAATCAATTGATGAAATACAAGAACTGCCTAAAGTATAAGCGCGAAGAGCCGCTGTAAGAAGCCACTTGAAACCGAACAAGTCTCATAGATAACACATTGCGGGTCGATAATTCATGAACGCGGAAATATTCAAATTACGATAGAACATTTAGCCGGGACACGGCTAAGCACACAGATTCGTTCTAATTAAGTTTTTTGCGATAAAGTTGCAGGATAGATTATGCCAGGCGTAACTTAACTAAGATTTTGAAATTTAAGAAAACCTGCATCGTTGTAGGACTAACAGATGAGCGTTGTCTGCGATCGCCTGGCGATCTTTACTAGGAAACTACCACTGTCGTTTTCAAATAGAAACCAATTGTCTTCGTAGATACATGCTGCCATGATATGAGATATCTGCAAGAGAAGAACGCTCCTCCGCCGAATGAATCTGTTGGTCGCGATAATGCGATGATTATTCCGCTTACCTATTTTCGGTCAACCCATTCGAAGATAGCTACTGCACGGTTATGATACAAACTCGTTCCAACGCTCAGCAATAGCAAGTTTAAGCTTCTAGCCGGCATTTGCTCTGCTCGAAAATGTTTGCGCTTTATCAAATGTTGATTCTTTCGTCTGGATTATTTCGTTCTTGATGTTTGATGATGTCACAGGCCTATGTACATTTTATTATATAAGCTTCATTTCTACACCGGGTATGAAGATTGTCCTCAACATATTATTTGAAGGTAAATTTTCTTAAACAGCGTCCCCAGCTAAA